TATTATTATTATTATTATTATTATTATTATTATTATTATTATTATTATTATTATTATTATTATTATTATTATTATTATTATTATTATTATTATTATTATTATTATTATTATTATTATTATTATTATTATTATTATTATTATTATTATTATTATTATTATTATTATTATTATTATTATTATTATTATTATTATTATTATTATTATTATTATTATTATTATTATTATTATTATTATTATTATTATTATTATTATTATTATTATTATTATTATTATTATTATTATTATTATTATTATTATTATTATTATTATTATTATTATTATTATTATTATTATTATTATTATTATTATTATTATTATTATTATTATTATTATTATTATTATTATTATTATTATTATTATTATCATCATTACTATTATTATTATTATTATGCGTATTTACTGTAACCATTTCATTATAAGCAAGTAGCATAAGAATAACTTCATGATAAGAATGTGCAAGAACAGCACAGTCCTATTCCCACAGTCCAACTGTCCTTTCCTGCTTACTTACCCGGAATCTCCCTTCCCTTCAAACCAAGACTCTTAACCCTGATCCAGACCGAACGAAGAGGCGACACTCTCGTAAAGTACTCCATTCCAAACAGTTCGTAAAATATACGTTTTTATACTCAGCATTTTATAATCATTAAGTTAATTTCCCTTGCACCTCTCGAAATCGGGACTAGGACCCAACGTTTTTCCCTCGCGGTTGTATTTCCACCCACTACATCGGTGGGGATATAACAGTTGCACAAATCCCTCAGGAGGAAATGCATGTGATAATAGATCAGTCATTGAATGGGGTTGCTAGCAAATGGTGAGACATAGTTTCCAGTCAGGTTAGGACGTGGGAGGAGTTTGCCAATAGCTTTCTTAATCAATTTTGGAGCACGGCGGTACAAAGGAAAATACGAACGAACCTAGAGTCAAAATACTACCGCGAGGATGCAGGAATGACTCGGGTTACATACGCTATGCGATTGATAAGCAACGAACGAGATCTAACTCCACGTCGATCCGATGAGTTAATCGTCCACATAGCCGCAAGACATTTTACCCAGGCAATCTATGATGCTGTCTCTGCACAAAATATCACTACAGTAGACGCTTTTCTCGCTCTGTTGGGCCGATGGGACAATGGGGGTACAATTAACCGTTTTCAGTTACAACAATTAACCGTTTTCAATTACACAACCCGGATCAGAATACTACATCAAGAGTAGCAACAACGCAGATTAATCAGTCTCGTAACAACGTAAATACGTCAAATCAAGTTTGAAACAACCTCCCAACTGGTAATACAGTACCACAAGAAGCACCACGTAATCGTTACTACGATAATTATCGCAAACAACAACCGCGCAATGTAGATTCTTGACGAGAAACCACCCCGGTCAAGGTCAGGCTAACTGAGATCGAGGAAGACCCGGATACAGGCCAGATAGAACAAACCCAGGAGCTAGTTGAGTTGTCGGGAAACGAGGATTGAGGTCCCCGACAAAAGAACTTAGCTCAACCCCGGTGACAGATCAAGGAACCTCTGTAAGAAAGAAAAGAGGGAGTGAAAACAATAACGTAGTGAACTTATTACTGTTATTATTATCAATCTAACTCATATTATTAGCCTGTAACGTAGCCGTTTCCTCCACCCGCGTTGCTAGGCAGCGCGGTGGAGTACGCGGCTCACGGGCCCCCTTGTGCCGGACGCTTCAGCGCGCCAGGGTTGACGCGAGGGGGCCGATCGCGGAAGGAAGGGGACTGGTCGCGGGTTGAGAAAGAACACGGTGATTAGCTCTTAACTATCCTTATTTATTAATTACTCCCCGACGAGCTGGGGCCCTGGTCCGCCGGTGGTGTCGCGGGCGGCGGAGTTGCCGGTGGAGGCGCCGTTGCCTCCGCAGTCTTCGGTTTCTACAATTGTAATCGGTTCGTGTTAGTCGGTTGGTGTTACAAAATAGCGGCGGCGGCGGCGCGGTTCTTACAGGCTAACGCAATATAATATAATCTTACATGCTACGCTTATACAATAGAGTCTTTCATACTATCCTTACATACTACGCTATCCCTATTCTTACACTCTATCTTACAAACTATACTCGGCGGCGCTCGCGGTCCGGTCGGTCGGTCGGTCGGTCGAGGGGAACGCCTCGCGGAGTACGGGTCGGTTGCGGCACGCGTTCGCGGGTCGGTCGGAGGAACTTCTCGCGGCGTTCGCGGTTCGGACGGAGAGAACAGCGCGCGGAGTTCGCGGTACGGTCGGTCGGTCGAACGCGTTCGCGGGTTTCGCGGTCCTTATATCTGCGGTTCGGCGCGATTGAGAGGAGGAAGGAGGGAGAGTAAAGTACACGGGGTAAGTGGCCAGTTCTGGCCTTGCCTTTCTCTTATTAAGACCGAGAGTGTTCCTGTTACTGGCTCTTGCCTCCACGGTCTGGCAGGCGTCACGCTGTGGGTTACCCTCCAACGTAACGACTACCCCCGGCTTCCCTTCCCCGAGGGCTACCCACGAGGTCGGACAAGTCGGTTGACCGTTGGCGCGGCCAGTCTCGGCGCACGGGTTACCCTCCACGCCGATACTGGCCTCCAGTCCTCCCAGTCCGGGGCTATCGTCGGACCAGGAAGACCTTATTGCCTTGGAGAGGATCTCCGAAGAGATCCTTTCGGGGCCGAAGCCCCGGGCCAACTCAATCGATCACGCGATCGATCGCTATCTAAGTAGTATCGGGTCGCGGTGGGTGGTCTCGGTGGGGGGTCCCCACCTCGCGGTGCGCGGCTGACGGTGCGCGGTTGACGGAGCGCGGCTGACGGAGCGCGGCTCGTAACGTATTCGTCACACCCCCCTCCTCCTCCGGGGAGACCAAGGTAAAGGACCTTGGTCGACAAATAACTTACAACTAAATAACAAAAGATCTCGCATACCTTAGAACTAAATATTTACAATATGAAAAATTCTCGGTATATACCTCGGGTGCCTGCCGGAATTCGAGTATTTTTCCGGTCGGGTCCATTAAGATAGTCCAACGGCGCCCATTGGACATCTTGCGGTGGCGTCGGAGGCCCAGGGGCAGTTGATGGACGCTTCCGTCCGGCAACGTGACCTCCACCGTAGGTCTTCGGCCGGGCGCATCTGGTGCCCTGATGATTGGCGCAGCGGTGGGCGGTCGTGCTGGTTCCGGTGCCTCGGGTACCATGAGGCACGGGAGAGACGGCGGTGGTGGGGCCGGTCCAGGCTGCAGAGCGGCTATGGTGGCCAGTGTCCTGGTGGACGGTGGCTTAGGCTCCCTATCTCCGGGAGCGATGGGCGCTCGTGTCCTCCTTGCGGGGATGTACTCCCCTGCCGGTGGCTTCGCTTTTGGCGTCGGAATTCGCCTTGGTGCTGTGCGCTTCCTTTTGCTCGGCTCCATGTTTCGCCGTCGACTGCGCTCGATGTGCCGTGAATCCTGGCGAATCTGCCGTCGTTCCTCTGGCGTCAGTGAGCAGGGGTCTTCGCGGAATTTCTCGCGGGTGCGAGTTCGCGCGACGGTTGACCGTTGGCGCGGCCAGTCTCGGCGCACGGGTTACCCTCCACGCCGATACTGGCCTCCAGTCCTCCCAGTCCGGGGCTATCGTCGGACCAGGAAGACCTTATTGCCTTGGAGAGGATCTCCGAAGAGATCCTTTCGGGGCCGAAGCCCCGGGCCAACTCAATCGATCACGCGATCGATCGCTATCTAAGTAGTATCGGGTCGCGGTGGGTGGTCTCGGTGGGGGGTCCCCACCTCGCGGTGCGCGGCTGACGGTGCGCGGTCGACGGAACGGCTCGTGACGTATTCGTCACAACTGTTACTATTTTCAATCTAACATAAACTATTTGCCATATTATGCTGCTATTATCGATAGAACGATTATTATTATACTTATTACTCTGATTATTTTCAATCTACCTTAAATTATAAGCCATATTATGCTTCTAGTATCGACAGAACCATAATTGTTATGCTCGTCACTGTGACGTATTCGTCACAACTGTTACTATTTTCAATCTAACATAAACTATTTGCCATATTATGCTGCTATTATCGATAGAACGATTATTATTATACTTATTACTCTGATTATTTTCAATCTACCTTAAATTATAAGCCATATTATGCTTCTAGTATCGACAGAACCATAATTGTTATGCTCGTCACTGTTATTTTTTTTCAATCTAAGTTATACTATTACCAATATTATGCTGCTACTGTCGATAAAACGATTATTATTATACTTACTACTCTTATTATACTCAATCTAACTTAAATTATTAGCCATATTATGCTGCTAGTATCGATAGA